ATACTGTAGTAAGTTTTGTGATTTTGATAAGACAGCCTGTATAATTCTTCTGGAACAGCAAACACCACACTTGGACATTTTTCTCAGAGTGGCTGTGACACAAGGTAGTGTGTCTGTGTGTGATTGCTGTAAGAAATCCATTTTTTTTTTTATGTTATATTTTTCACATCATTAGCATTGATGATCTTTAGTAGCATACAGTTTCATTAAAGATTTGTTTTTGTTTTTTATTTGTTGGAAGAATATCTGCAGCAAGTTTTTTGAATTAAAACACATTTTTTTCCACGCTCTATTCTGAGAGAAATGAAATGTCGTCTTTATTATCAATCGATGATGGAAATGTCATAGATGAAAATTGTCTTGGATTTCAACAAGGTATCCATTCCATACAATCTGTACTATAAGGGTCTGATTTCATATTTATTGAAATTATATCTCCCTGTCAAACAAGGACCCTGTTTAAGCTGTCTTTCGAAAAAATAAGTTTTGGTGGTTTGTTTACTTTTACTGGAGTGTTCTATGCAAAAGACTGTGCCAGTCGCTTGACAGTGCACTACTATCCTGAAGACAGACAGCCATCAATTGACTCTCCACTGGCTGTGTTGGAATATTGAAATAACTCCTCTATAAGGAGTGTTAAAAGAAAAATCTCATGCAAGTCCTTCTTTGAATGAATTTTAAGTAAATAGTTTGTATTATTAATTTAGTTTTATCCCCAAATTTCCTAGGTATATTTTGTTTCCTTTGGACTAAACTTTACGTCTGGACAGTAGGCATCAAGAGCAGTTCCTCAGAATTACACATTTTTGTATTAGTGATCTAGAGCTAATGCTTAGAATCGCTGAAAAAGTCCCGGTTCGAAAGTATAGCCACTAATACTTGTACAGCCTTGTGGATTTTCTGTTTCTTCTTTTTTTTCTCTTTTTTTGTATATCCTTTCAGTTGAACATATTAATCATGGTCTAAAATAAAAAACTTTAAACCTATTATTTTTTTATTCAATTTAATTTGTTGTTTTCTTTTCTTTCTTTCATTTTTATTTATTTATTCATTATTTTTGCTGTATTATTTTATTTTGTGTGTGTGTGTGTGTGTGTGTGTGGTGTTGTTTGTGTGTGTGTGTGTGTGTGTGTGTGTGTGTGTGTGTGTGTGTGTGTGTGTGTGTGGTGTGTGTGGTGTGTGTTTTTTGGTGTGTGTGTTGGTGCAGGCAAAATATACATGTTTGTTATTATTATAAATCATTGTATTTTAATCTTTTCTTATCTCTCTCCTTTATTATAAGCTACTCTTCTATGCTCGATACCTAACATGCTAACGTCTTTTCTGTGTCTCCCTTAGGGGCTAGAGAGGCATCATTCCCTGTTATGGGTAAGGGCTTCTGCAGAGCGTTCGCTGCGATTTGGCGCCCCTTTCCTCCTGCTGTGTGGGTGGCTCCTTTGGCCTCAGGGAATTCGCGCAGATCAGGTAAGAAGTGTCAGGGGTGGAGGTCTGGAGAAGGGTTGGGACAGGGTGTATAAGTTGATGTTTTTCTTTGATTTTTATATCCTCTTTTTTGTCCCCTTGAGGTTGATGGGTGTGGCCTGGTCGTTTGTATTTTATATTTTCTTTCTTTCTTTCTTTTTGTGTGTGTCGTTGCTGCTTTTACATTTGTTCCACCCCCCCTTTATTTATTTATTTATTTATTTATGTATTTATTTATTTATTTATTTATTTATGTATTTATTTATTTATTTATGTATTTATTTATTTATGTATTTATTTATTTATTAATTTATGTATTTATTTATTTATTTATTTATTTATTTATTTATTTATTTTGTAGATGTCATAATTCCTTGACAAACAACTATAGTAAAATGTTCCCAAGTATTAGAATGATGAACATAAAAGGATGAAAAATCTTAAGAAAGTTCATGAATGTATTATACCCAAGCATCGCCCCAGAAAAGGAATCTGTAATATAGAACTGAAGTTTACATTACATGGGAGAAATGTAAAGTTCTCGGTTAAAATGATGTTAATGCTAAAAGACTGTGTAAGGAATGTGTAATATAGAACTGAAGTTTACATTACATGGGAGAAGTAATGTAAGTTCACGGTTAAAATTATGTTAATGCTAAAAGACTTGAGAGTACGAATTTCTCATTTCACACTCGAAGAAAGGTCCAGGCAAACATCAAGTCAATGTTGAGCAATATGTTTAAATTAGATTCAGACCTGAGATTACCATTAAGTTTGAAGGTAAAATTAAGGTAAAGGTAAGACATGAAATCTGAAGAGGGCAAGCTCATGGTGGTCCATTATGCCTGCAGGTACGACTTCCGCAATCGCAAGAATGTCTCGAAAGAGGATGCCGAGAAGATGGGGATCAAGATGAAAGACCAAGACGAAGTCACACTGGAATCAGAGTATCAAAAAATTGAAAAGGTTAGTTAAGTATTTCACATTTTCTTTTTTTTTTTTTTTTTTTTTTTTTTTTTTTTTTTTTTTCTTTTTCTGTCTGTTGCTTTCTGTGTCAGTTTATTTTATTATTTTTTCTCTCATTTTGTTCTTACTTTTTCTTTGTTGTTTTTGCAGTTTTTCTTTCTATTTTTACATTTTTATACCTTTTGCGAGATGGTTTAAGTAGTGGTTGATTTATTTCATTGAATAATTAATTTATTTATTTGTTATTTATTTATTTATTTATTTATTTATTTATTTATTTATTTTAAGTGGACATTGCTTGTTTTGATTTTCATATCCAGGACACAGGTTTCGTGCTGATGAAACTGGTGGTTCATACATTGCCAATGTCGGGTGGTGAATTTTAGAGCGGAGGGGACTGTGCCTTCCTTTTTTTGCCTTTCTTTCTTTTCTTTTCTTTTATCTTTCTTCCTTTTTCTTTCTTTCTTTAGTATCAGTGAAGTTTTGTTGCAGTTTTTTTATTATTGTTATTATTTATTTATTTATTTGTTTGCTTATCGTCATCATCGTAGTCATTGTTGTTATTGTTGTTATTGTTGTTATTATTATTGTTATTGTTGTTGTTATTTTGTTATTTATTTGTTTATTTATAATTTTTTTGTTTTATTGTTTTATGTTATTTTTTCATTCATTGTTTTTATTGTCATTTTATTTTGTTTTATTTTTGGTCTCATTCATATGGAAGAAATTGTGTTGATTTCAGTGATTTAGTTAAATTAAGTATTTTTGTCCTCAGTTGTACACAGAGTTAATTAATGATCTATTCCCCAGTCAAGTGTTTTTCTTTGTTCTAGGCTATTTTGAAATGATGTTCAGTGTTCAAGGTTGTGTTAAGATCACTTGTTCTCTGTTCTAGATTTCTGATAGGGGACTTGTTTTATAATCTCATTTGTACACAATCATCTCTTTCCATGTTTTTGTATCATGTGACTTTTCTGTTACGCAATGATATGCGGTTTCTCTCTGTAGCTATGTGTTTTGAAACTCTGGCTGGTTCAAAGTTTTATATTGTGTGAGGTCATTAGGTCTTCAATCCTGATTGTGGTTATAGGCCTGACTTTAAGGGCTAAGTCGCATTAGGATCAAATCTGTACGAGGAGTTTTTGTGATTTGCACTTTTAGGATGTCCTTTTCTTTTTATGTTGAACATTGTTAAGAGAGATTTTCAGGGTAAGGAAAAATGAGTTGTTCTTTTCTTCATTCTGTTTGTAATCCCCTTGACCAGTGGGCTGTGTTTGTAGCTTTAAAGGCAGGATTCAGTGGGCACCAAATGGTTAGCTTTCATCATATTTTATGTTTAAAGTGGTAGAGTGTGATAGTAGCTCCACCAGTTTAAACAGCCAGCTAAGTAGTCACAGTTATTGGTTGTTATGACATTTAATATAACACTAAATTTATTTTACATGTTCTTCCTGGAGGCATATCACCCCTCAGACTTTGTACTGGCTTGCCGTGGGGATGAACGTCAAATAGCTAACTTCTGCATAGACTGCTTCCCAGCTTGAGCCCAGTGCATGGAAAAAACTACTCACAGGGAGAGTGTGTATAATATTTCTCTGTGCACTCTATCAGTCTGCATTTTTTTTGTACTGGCTACTGCATTGAGCTGCCCCTCAGCTAGGAAGTAAGAGAGAGAGAGTGAGAGTGAGGGAGCTAGCTGTTTTGCCCCATGAATTTTACAGTAGAGAGGGATATCAATTAAGTTCATGCGAGCTGCTCTGTTATAAAAAAGATAGTTGACTGGCTCAGGTATAGAATGATTTAGAGTTTACTGGTCCACAATATGTTGTGTAGGTTTGATTGTCCAGTATGATATGAGTAGATTTAGTTAGTCCAAAATAAAATGAATAAATTTGACTGATACAGAAAATGTGCAGTTTTTGACTTGAGTAATCTAGAATTGTTGAAATTTTATTTAATGACCTGCTTAAACCTCCCAGATTGACACAACCAACTGGGAGAATGTGCGTGGCCCTCGCCCGTGGGAAGAGGGCAACCAGTTGTACAAGGAGGCAGAAGAACGAGCGAAGAAGATTGCCGGACGAGACTGAAACCTCCATTTGCAGTCTGTCACCAAGATGCTGGTGGTGAGATGTGGAGGGAAGAGAAAATAAGAGCGTGTTTTTTAAATAGACTAAGAGTTTTGTATATAATTGCTTTGAAAAACAAGGTGTACAGTTTTTTATAGACTGAATAAGAGTGAGTGGTTGGAATAATAAGGCAGAGACACATGTAAACTTGAAATTGACTTTGTAAATAGTATCGAAATACAATGAATAGAAATTGAAGAGTTTTAATGAACCTTATAAAGAAAAAAATAAAGAATAATAAAGATAAACTATAAATAATAAGATAATATAAGTGATACACCTCATGCCTCCTAAATACCTACTTTAATGACACAAGTGGTTGTTACACAGAAGGAATAAGTAAACCCAATGAACATTTTTCGATGAGGATTTTTTTGAGTGACCAAGAAGCATTTTTGTGCATGTGAAAATCCATTAGAAAAAAAGAACAAGGCAGATAAAAGAATGAGAGTGCCAGCTTGTAGTCTGCCCCATGTGGCATTCACAGTGTCTGAGTTGGCGGCCGTTACCTCTGTGCAAGGCTGGAGTAACAGGAAAGTCAAGGTCATAGGTCGGCTGCGCGATTACGATCCCACGAACAAGCTTGCGGTTCTTGAGTCTGTGGCAGAACAAGAGGGAGTCTTCCAGATTAAGGTAAGTTGGTTATTTCTTAAGTGGTTTAGTAAGATAAGTTAATATTTTTGTAGTTATCCTGTTGAAAGGGATGTTTTATATCATTATTATTGGTTTCGTCTGCTTGTATAGTGATTTTGCTGAAAGAGACAGGTAGAGAGAGAGAGAGAGAGATAAAGAGAAAGATTGGGTTTGAGAGAGAGTAGGAGTAAGAGAGAAAGAAGGTGTGAAATTGACAATGAGTTTGTGTGAGTGAAAGAGAGAGAATGTATGTGTGTGTGAGAGACAGACAGACATAATGCGTCGAGAAAGAACAATAAGATCTCTGCTCTCTCATACGCCTCTGTTTTTACTCACAACATATTTTGTAGTCTCTGACAGAATCCTTCTTTCTCTCAGACTTATTGCGTATGTTATTTGTCTTCTCTTTCTCCTTCAGCCCCTCCTTCTTATCTTATCTTCTCCGTCTTTTTCTTCTCCTTCTCCTTCTTCTCCTTCTTTTCCTCTCCTCTTTTTCCTCTCCTCTTCCTCTTCCTCTCTCCTTTTCTCCTCTTATTTATGCTTTTACTCCTCAATTTCCTCCTACTTTTTGCTTTCTCTTTCTCCTTATTCTCATACTTCTACTTCTTCTTCTTCTTCTTCTTCTTCTTCTTCTTCTTCTTCTTCTTCTTCTTCTTCTTCTCCTTCTTCTTCTTCTTCTTCTTCTTCTTCTTTTCTTCTTCTTCTTCTTCTTCTTTCTTCTTCTTCTTCTTCTCTTCTTCTTCTTCTTCTTCTTCTTCTTCTTCTTCTTTTCTTCTTCTCTTCTTCTCCTCCTCCTCCTCCTCCTCCTCCCTCCTCCTCCTCCTCCTCCTCCTCTTTCTTTTCCTTCTTCTCCTTCCCTTGCTTAATCCTTCTTCTCTTTCTTCTCTTTCTTCTCTTCTCTCCTCCCGCTCCTTTTATTTCCCTTCTTCTTTTCCATCTCCTTTTCATTCTTTGTCTCTTTCTCTTTCTTTCTTTTTTTCTCTTACTCATCCTTCAATTTCTCCTTCCACTTCTCTTTCTTCTTTTTCTTCTTCATCTCCTCCTCCTCCTCCTCCTCCTCCTCTCATCATCATCATCATCATCATCATCATCATCATCATCATCATCAATCATCATCATCATAATCATCATCATCATCATCATCATCATCATCATCATCATCATCATCATCATCATCATCCTCATCCTCATCCTCATCCTCATCCTCATCCTCATCCTCATCCTCATCCTCTCCTCCTCCTCCTCCTCCTCCTCCTCCTCCTCCTCCTCCTCCTTATTTTCTTTCTTCTCAACATATCTATTGGGAATGGGGGAGAAGGAAATGGAGGAGAAGGGAGGGAGGAATAGATGGAGAGGAAAAACAGGGAGGCAGGGGAGGGGAAGTGAGGGAGGAAGAAGAGTAGGAAGAAGAAAAGAAGGGGAATGGGGAGTGGGGGAAGAAGAAGAGGAGGTGTAAGAACAATAGGAAAAGAAAGGAGGGAGAGGAAAGGGAAGGAGTAGGAAGAGGAGGGGGAGAGATGGAGGAAGAATAATAAGAAAAAAGAGGAGAGATAGAGGAAGAATAAGAAGAAAAAAGAGGAGAGAAGCAGGGAAGAGGAAAAGCAGAGAGGGAGGGAGAGAGAAGGGGAGGAGGAGGAGGGAGGAGGAGGAGGGGAAGTGGCCGGTGTGCGAGTGTGTCTGTGCGTGCGTGTGTGTGTGTATGTGTATGTGCGTGCGCGTTCTCCCGGGTGAGCGAGAGAGAGAGCCAGTGTCTTGGCAAACGTGTTCCGAGAGAGACGGTCGGGAGAGATGTGCAGCGAGTGGTGTATGGTGCCCATTGGTGACGACACTGGCGACGGGCGGGAAAGGTGATTAGGCGGTTCGTGGTGGCAAACGCAGCGGTTCAGAAGCTGGTGGTGCCTTCGTTGTGCTTGCGCGGTGACCGTTTGGGCCTTTGTGAAGAGAAAGTCATTTATTTTTATTTTTTAACGTGGTTTATAGTGATTGTGAATACGGATAATTGCTTATG